AATATCTGCAGAGCAGAACTTGTCTTCCACAGCAATTATTTTTAGTTAGCATATAGCTAAAATCTAACGATGGTTTTATAATAGCAGCTACATTCTGGCGTGATAAGCTGTATGTTTTATTTTCAATTAATGTATGATCTGATTAGTCGACTAATCGAAAAAATAATCTGTGATTAATCAATTATAAAAATAATCATTTGTGGCAGCTCTATACATGACATGTCTATTTTCCATTCCTCATTTCCCTCAAACCTGCCGTGTACAGCCATGTGTCTGTGTTTATAAAGTCGTCCATGATGACTTGGGGCTCTGTAAGATTTATATGATTTCATCCAAATAAACTACGTAACTAAATCTGTCAATGCATCCATTAATTACAGCTTCAGTTTATCATATAGTCATTTGCACAATTTCCAAGTCCTGCTACTGATAATTTGATGCTAATGTGCTAAAAGATTATTTATTTATAGCAATACTAGAAAAACAACTTGACAACATTCCTCATTTTAATGCAGTGATAACTGCAGGCTTTTAAATGTAAAGGCTAGAATATTACAACTTTTTTCTTGTAGTATGACTTCAATCTCGTAATGTTATGACTTCAATCTCGTAATGTTGACTTCAATCTCGTAATGTTGACTTCAATCTCGTAATGTTGACTTCAATCTCGTAATGTTGACTTCAATCTCGTAATGTTGACTTTAATCTTGTAATATGACTTTAACTACGCCGACTCATTAAAAAAATAAAAACTCAACGTCTTCATTTCTGTTTATTTTGCTGCCGGTGCATTGAATGCTGGGATATCCTCGGCAGGTGAGGATACACTGATGCATCCTCAGATTTCCAGAGTTTGTCGGCTGCATTAGGAGGAGCCTTTGAATTGGGACAGTACTCTGCGTGGGGCAGTGACGTTTGCAGCCGACAAATGAGCACTCATGAGGACCCAGACCATGAACTGAGACACAGCCCATATGTTACAGACTGATGAAGCTCCGCCCATTTTTACTTTCAAAATAAAAGATGGTTTTATTCTTAAATCTGGTTCCGTTTTGTTTTTATGACCCCTTCCTGTACTCACGCATCAACTTCCTCTGCTTCTTCTGCAGGCAGGACTTGACGTAGCGCTCCAGCTCGCGGAGCGTGGAGGGTTTGAGGGTCTCGAAGTCGATCTCGATCTCGTCGGGGTTGGAGTCCCTCAGGGACGGCTCTCGGGACTGGATGATGTGGACGACGCGGCCCAGCTTCTCCCCCGGCAGCCGGTTGATGTCCAGGCTCAGCTGCCGCTTCTCGTCGTACGACATGGGCAGGGACGACTCCTCGCCGTCGTCCCCGTTGGCCGAGCCGGCGCCCGGCGTCTTGCTGGCTTTCTTCGGTTGCCTGGAAACAGACGGCACGCTCTGATTGGCTGATGGAAACCCTCCCAACACAGCTAATGCGAGGCGTTCTCAGACAGCTCGTACCTGGTGGCCGTTACCGTGCTGTTGGCTTTCCTGACCGGTGCCTTCTTCTGATTGGCTGGTTTGGGCTGCTGGGCGGCAGCCTTGGGTTTCTTCTCTTCTTCTATCTTAACCTTGTTCCCTTTGTCCTTGTCCTTGTCCTTCTTCTTCTCCTTGTCTTTCTTCTCTTTCTTCTTCTTTGGTTTGCTGACGGGCGCCTGCGACAGCACGGCCAGCTGCTCGTGCACGGCCTTCAGCTGGTGGGAGACACTGATAATCAACACCTGCCGCCTGCGGCCAATCGGCTGCACCTCCACCCAACCACGGATTGTGAAAGAATTTACTTTCTACGCTTCGGTAAATTTAATCTACGAAAAAAACAACGTTAAAGAAGGAAACTGAAATGTTCTTGACCTGTGATTGGTCGGCAGCACCAACCTGCTCCTGTAGCTCGGCCAATCGCGTGGCTCGCTCCTCCTCGGAGTCTGACGATTCGTCAGAGGAAGAGTTGTTGCTGCTGTCGGAGGAGGCGGTGCTTTTACTGACCAGCGGCGTGGTGGACGGGACCGACACCTCCAGGCCCTCATCGGGGATTTTGGCGAAACGCATCTCGAACACGTCCTGAGACACACACACACACACACACACACACACACACACACACACACAC